ACCGTTCTGGCCTATTGGTCCCACTGGACCCGGAGAGCCGACGAATCCAGGAATACCTTTTTCGCCCTTCTGTCCGGCAGGGCCTTCATTGCCAGGAATTCCAGGTAAGCCAGGACCTCCTTTGGGGCCCATGTAGCCCTGAGGTCCTTGAGGACCATCCATACCATTGAGGCCTTGAGGGCCCGGAGGACCGCTATAGCCACGAGGTCCTTTGGGTCCTGGGGCGCCTGGTTGACCGCGTCCACCGCCAGGAGGTCCAGCCGGACCAACCAAACCGCGTTCACCTGGTTTACCTGGTCGTCCTGGCTCACCCTTCATGCCGGGTAATCCTGGCAATCCATTTAGACCCGTCTCACCACGATCTCCCTTCTGTCCAGCAGGTCCTGTCGGTCCAAAGTTGCCTGGGCGACCCTATAAGATTATGGTATTATATTCGATACTACTTTTGCTTTGTACTTCTTCAAGGACTCACTCGATCTCCTACGAAGCCAGGCACACCCTTTTCACCCTTCGGCCCATCAAGTCCAGGCTCACCGGCAGGTCCAAGTCCACCCTTCTCGCCCCTATAACCCATTTCACCTTTCTGGCCAACATCGCCGCGCTGTCCCATAACAGTATCGGAGCCATGAACAGGAAGCTTGGGAGCTGGATCTCCTTTCTCGCCCTTGTCACCTTTCTCACCGGGCATAGCTGTGGCAAAGCATGCAGCGCCCTTCTCGCCCTTGATACCGCGATCACCTCGAGGTCCAGGTGGTCCATAAGGTCCTGTGTCACCACGTTGGCCTTTCTCGCCGCGTTCTCCTTCGGGTCCGGGGGCGCCAGAGCGTCCAGCAAATCCGGGTTCACCTTTTTCACCTTTGGCATAGTCACCATTCTCTTTGGCTGGTTCACCTTTCTCGCCCTTGGGACCAGGTCCGCCGGTGTAGCCGCGAGGACCAACCATGCCGGACAGACCTGGCAGACCTGGCAAACCAGCAGTGCCATCGCAACCATCTTTGCCGTTAAGACCCGGTGCACCAGGATTTCCAGCTGGGCCTTGGACGCCAGCAACGCCTGGCAGACCGGGAATACCGCGTGTTCCTCGCTCACCCTTCTGACCTCTTGCTCCAAATGGACCCGGATCACCCTTCTGACCTTTGTCACCGGGCGGACCCTCTGGTCCCGGATAACCTTGCAGACCCTTCGGTCCAGTCTGACCCTCGGGTCCGGGCAGACCACGATTACCCTTCTCGGCAATACACTTGGGCACGCAGCCCGCATACCCTGCAGTGCAGTTCTTTGGCAAAGGTGCGCCTCTCTGAATACTCGCCGAGTCTACAATATCGTAACTTTCATCGATAGAAAACGTATCTCTAGGTTCATCTCGTGTTTGGTGACGTAGCGACTCATGGATAGAGCCAGTCGCACCGGGATTCGTCCAAAATTGCTGCAACAACATACAATAATTATGCAAAATATAACAATTAAATTGTTTAACATTTGCTTACAGCATTTGTACCAACTAATGCTCCAGCAATTACAGCGGCGAACAGCAGCCTGAAAAATAAAAGATTATCATATTATCAGTGGTATGTGTATATGATATAACTAAAACTATATAACTAAATATAATAACTAAAACTTAATAATACAAAAATGAAAATTTAAGTATATAAAGTCATCAGATTTCAGATGCCACAATATTTAAATATCTTTTTATCTGCAGAGATATCTGCATTAAGCTGTTGAATTAATATATTGTTAATGAAAATCTCTAAATAAATAAATATTTAATGTATATATCAATTATTTAAGTTAATTAATTGGCCAAATCTTATTTTCAATTTAAAAACGTTTTGCTTCATACACAAAAATAAATGAAATAATTTTCAAGTCGCTTATCTTGCAGAAGAGCATGTGCCTATATACATATGTGTGCGTGTGTGTGCGCGCGTGTTGAAGAGAGCGCGTTAAGCGTTAAGAGCAGCGCTGCTTAAGAGAGCAGCAGCAGTAGTGAGCGACTGTGTGCGTGAGCTGTGCACATATTTGACAGGCACTGAGCGGCATGAGCAATTCACAGTTTAAAAGCCACTGATAGCGCATAGAATTTTGGGCAAGCATTTTAAACAGTATTTTGAATGAATTAAAATTTATATAGAATTTTATATATTTTCTTATTTCTTTTCAATCGTAATATAATTACTTACCGCTTCCAATGGGGCAACATGATGCCCTTTGCACTCTGGCTGCACAGTTATGTCCTGCTGTCCTTAATCGACTTAAAATTATGTTTTGCCGTCGCTTGGCCTGCAAGAGGCAGAAAAGTATGCACTATAAAATGATGTATTATTGTGGAAAAATAATAAAAAACTTTTTTCTTTTCTATGTGAGTGGCAAAAAATGGTTTTCTAATTTCTTTTTACAGTATATATGTATTTTTCAATTTTTTTTATTAAATGTAAGGTTAAGCGGCGCGGTACAGTTTGAAAGTCACTGTTTTTCGTTAAACTGAAGAAGCGCTCCAATTAAATATTTATTCATTTTTTTTTTAAATCAATTTTTATTTATATGCATTTATAAATCGGAAGCGTTTCGATTTTATTTAGCATAATTCAACTATTTTCGTTGTTTTATAGTTTTATTTTGATTTTTGGTTTGATTTTCTGCTCCTGCTTACTGAAGGAAAAGCGATCCAACTTAATGGATCGACTGGAGCGTACTGAACGAATCACACAGCAGCGAGAGCGCGAGCTGCACACAGCACAGCACAGCCAGCAGGCGAGTTAAGACTAAAAGACAGAAGCAAGCAGCCTACTTACTCGAGAAGACGAAACACGACTAATTATAGTATAAGCTTCCACCCAGCCAAAAACCCAATGCACGACCAATGCACGATCGGCGAGCCGAGTGGGTTGCGCGAAGAGCGACGAGCGCCAGTGCTGTTCGGCTCACGTACTCTATCCGTGTCGTCTGTGTGAAATGGGCGTCTCTGTGTGAGTGTGTGAGTGTGTGCGTGTGCGGAGCATGTGGAACGGATGGGTGAAGCAACAACAGCAACAACAACAGCTAACCCAACTGGAATATGAATATGAATGAAACTGGGCGATAAGTTTGAAACTAAGTCGGCTACTTAAGTTAGTTGTTGCTCTTTGTTCTTTGCCACAGCAAATGCGCATTGAAAATGGATCGTTTACAAAAGGGGTATACGGGAAGGGGGAGTGCAAGTGGATATGGGAAATAAATTAGAAATAAACCATGACGAAGAGAATGGGTCTTCCCTCTTATATTAAATGAGCATTGGCAAATTTAATATGCAATGTTCTCTTATATGAGGACTTTCGGGTTGATAGCTAATCAAGCTCTGAAATGAACCTCCAATTGGACATTTATAACTTCTTGTTGCAAGGGTATTTTCCAGTCAGTCACTCGACACTATTCGTTTGGAGTGGATCGATATGAGCTAAGATTCCACTTACAGCATTTCCAGCTGAAGCTGCTTGCTTGGCGTTGCCTTTACTCCCCCTTTCGAGCACCTACTGTGGCGGCGACAACTTGAATCACATTTGGGCTGATAGCTGATAGCCCAATTGGAAAGATCGGGTACATGAGTTCCGCTATTGCTATTGCCATTGAAGTTCTGATTAGGGCTCGATCCGGCATGACTTGAGCATCGTGTGCTTGATTCCAAGTCCTGCTTGTGATTACACTGCGAGAAAGATGCCAGCTAAAAATATAAAATATTTTGTAACGACTCAAGATATTAGAAAATTTTATTTTATCAATAAATCAAATATTATATAATCTGTTAAATATATTTTTATTATTTTAGGCATACATATTTAGTGCTCACTTCCATTTTGCAGTGTGTGGCTTTTATTCAGGTCTTTCGGTCAACGAAATTCTTAAAAATTTCTGATAAGAACAGAATCTTTTTGTTGTTTTTTTGAAAGACTGATTTGAGACTTATAAATAGAATATTTTGTACGTATAACTTTAAGTGGTGCTTACAATAATTTGTTATAAATTAATACGTTTTTTAATACGACTTTTCAAATAAAAAATCAAACACTTTACTCTCATGTCTATTCATCATTAGAATATTTTTTGAAATCTGTATTAAAACATTTGACTAAAAACGAATTCAAAATATTTGCAATTGACTCGGAAAACTGTATTCAGGATATGTACTACATTACAATATATTTTAACATCACTTTCATTTTGAATTTAGATCGAATATAAACTGATATAAGCTTATTTCCTCGAAAATGCTGTAAGCGCGCTCTACTGAAAACTTTTGATTGGGACTAGTGGGTCAACGTATAGCACTCCGTCCTCCCTTCAGCCTCTTTACCCCTCAGACATCCCAATGTCTCTGTTATGTATGCTAAGCCATCTAACAATCGAATCTTACACAACGCACAAAAGCCTTGATTGTGGCTAGTGCGTTTCAAAACTGACCTCAAATGTACAACTAAATAATATATATGTGTGTGTGTGTTTTGAAAAGTTCTATTTTTGTCAAATCTGCGTAATAATTAATTCGAAATAATGAAGAAGAGAGAAACGAGCTGACTTTTCATGAGTCGAACAGGAAATACGCAACCTTATAGCTGGCGCTCTTATCAGACCGTTGTACTAAATGTAAAATAGCCTTTGCCTAATCGGGCTGGGCGGCTGCTGTGGCGACGACGACAATAACAAGAAACTAAATAGCTAAGTAGGGAAATTATAATATGGAGGGAAATTGTTGCTGTTGTTGTCGTCGTTTCCTCATTTCAAGGCAACAAAGTGCTAAATTCAACAGGCTGTGCACCAACACCCCCGCACCGCAGTCCTCACTCAGCGTACAAAATCCCGCTTGCCCACTGCTCAAAGCAAGCGAACGCTGGAAGCAAAACGCTCCAACACAAACGCAACGGCAGCTAAGCATGTGTGCGTGCGCCGATCTGGAGCCGAACGCCAGCCGAACGCCGAGGCTGTGGACAAACGAATTGAAATTTCTTTTGTGCCGGGCGATTTTAGTAGCATTTTGAACGCTTGACGATCGCCACATGTGGGGAGTGTGTCGTGCTCGACGAACGCAGCAGCAGCACAGCACCAAATCAAGTGGCGAGCCCGCACGTAGCAGCAGTATTTTGTGTTAGTTCGCCTGCAAAAATACAAATTCGAATGCAAAATATCAAAAATACCAAATATCAATTATTTATTTAATTGCAAATCAATCAGACTCTCACAAATTGTATATAGAAAAGAATTTCCCAAAAAAAAGTACCAAAGGCAAAAAAACGGTTTCTTATTCACTGTTCCAATGTTTTGATCTTTCGCAGTTTCGTGTGTGTTTATCGCAGTGACATTTTAAGTTTGTCCCCAGTTCCAGTTCGATTTCCAATTTCCAATTCGATTTGTGGTCAGGCTGAGGACCATGATGTTGTTGCCCAGAGATCTAACGGGTCTCTCGGGTGTGCTTGGCGCAGTCTGGCTGTTTGCCAGCGTTGTGTCCTTTGCGAATGCGGCAAAGGTAAGTTCAAATAAAATCTTAAAAAATATATTAAAAATTTATTTACTAAAAAAGCATATATATTTTGAATCGATTGTGATGAAACATGCATATTTATTTATTATATTATTTAGCGTATATAGCAATATATATAAAATCAATTCCTCTCAAACTGTGTGCTTCATGTCATTGCCGAAAAAGCTTCTCTTTCGCTGATACAGTACATGTCAAACTGTTCGGCAAGAGTGGCTCGAGCGTATTCAAACTTTACTCTAGTAAACTTTGCTTACTACAATTTTGCCTTACTCTACTTTAGCTAATCGCTGTATGTAGCAATTGCTCTCAAACTGTGTGACATTTATTCCTACATTTTTAGTTACAATATTCATATGTATATATATTCTGCTAACCTCAATACTGTAAGACTTTATAGAAGCAGTGCGTTTCAAACTGTAAATTGAGATTTAAATAAGGTATATACTCACTCACAGCTATTCAAACTGTATACAAGCAGTGGCTGTAAAATTGTAGCATGACAATTCCTTTAAGAGAGTGTTTGTTTACTGATTCATATATATACATACGTACATACATATATGTATGTGTGGCTGTCAGCTTGACTCACTCAATGCCTTTTCAAGTAAACTAACTTAAAGCAGTGACTTTCAAGCTTTCAAACTCAATCTGTCTTTCAACTGCAATTGTGACTGATTCATAATGTGTATATAGTATATATTTATATATTGTATATTCCATACATACTATGTATATCTGGATATATGTATGTATGGAACAATTAGGTCAGCTGTGTAACATTTAATCAGCCAAAACATAAGTCTCTCGATGTATACGTGCATACTATTTTCTCTGAGTCTATTGCACATTATATTTCCGGTAATGGAGCTTGATAAACCCTTGCGAGTTGGGTTTTTGTTGTAGAGGCTTTTCCTCCTGGGCCGCACGCGGAGGAGTTCAATGGATTCGAGTTCTAGTTTGTATTATGTCATCGCAGATGAATTTCAGATTAGAGAAATTTGGCAATAGGGGAAAGGTTAACGCGTGCTCTTATCAGTCACATGATAACCCCAACGGATCTCTGTCTTCTTCAAATCCCAAAAGTAATTATGCTTCGTAAATTGTATAACAAATAAACCAATTCGTTTGCCATTGAATATTTCCGGTTAGCAATTAAAAATTAAAAGTACATTGAAATTTGAACTTAAATTGAATTATTGTTTTGAAAGACTCGTATAAAAGAGCTAAAACGTATTGGGTTCATTGTCGCTAATTGTGTATATAATCAACTCTTTAATCAAAACATCATACAAATAAATAAAAAATATTTACTACTTGAATGCTTTCAATAAATTTCAGAATCAATTTGTTTTGTTTTATAAATTTTATGAAAGAATAATTTTATATTTAAATTAATTATTATTGTTTCATAATTTGTTTTTATTAATTTAATTATATGTTTGATTTTTAAATTTGATTAAAATTTTTTTTAAATCAATAATAAATAGTTTTTGCTATATTTCTAAACTAAAAACTATTTTGATATTTTGAAAATTAATTTTTTTATATATGACTACAAGTTTCTTAAATATTCTTGCCCCTGGAGCTATGCAACACGTTTTGTACAATGTTTTTTAAGCAGTTAACAAAATATGCCGGGGATAAAAGCTTAAACACTCTCAGCGAGTATTGGGCAGTCGTGCATTCTCGCTTGTTTCAAGCTTAGCCGAATAGATTATCTGTAAATTGAGACTCGATTTCGTCATTTGAGTATTTTTGGGCCCTATGCTAAGGCGAAATCTGTTATGTTGCTCTGATTTCAGTCGCTTATCAAGCGGGACAAAGAAGATGAATGAGACAGAATGAAAATAAGAAGAGGCAGAAGAAGAAGTGAAACTAAATCGAAATCGTTGAAATTTAATTAGGTTTATTGCTATGTTGGCGGCATTGACGCTTGATAGCATGTGTAGCCGACTTTGGTTCGCTGATTGCGACACATCGAATCGGATCGAGTCGAACTCAAAATAGAATTTATTCCAAAGTGTCGCCACAGACACTGAGAGACAGCCACAGGCAGAGGCTATCGGCTAAGCATGACATTTGCCAGAGCAACATGCCAAAAGCATCAGTAATCTAGAGATTATATATATATATACATGTGTAATTTACTGACTGATTGATTGATCAACTGATTGATGAGAGCGTCATATCATAGACATAAGTAATAGTCGAGCCATTGTAGGAATACTTTCCATTCATCAGTCAGTCTGTTTTGAACGGTGTTGCTGATTGATTGATTGACTGACTGACAGATCTGAACTGATTGATTTAGGCTAGATCCCTTTACTACTTTAGTTTCCCAATGTTAAATACAAGTTCAGATGTATAAACAAGTGTCAAACAGTACATACCAAAGTATACAACCAGATTGATTGATTGATGTACTGTGTAATTGATTGACTTAGCAATAATAGCTGAAATTCCTTTGTATGTTAGTCGGAGTCGGATCATATAATATTTATATGCATATATGAATTTATTCGTAGTGATTGACTTTACATACTGGGGCTATCGTATATAGCAATCAATATTTGGCTGGTTGACTTAACATGGACGATTGACAGACTGATCGGTAAAGCTGTCGCAACTGAATTACTTGAGAAAATTTGCTTAACTTGTTTGCTCAGGGCAGTTTCGAAATATTCTCACACCAACTGAGAAATTGATATCTGAAATTTTGAGTTCTCGTAGAATTTACACTCTTAGCGAGTCAAATGTGCAAAAGAAAGGCAAAAAACCATAAGAAGTAAATAAATTACACTTTAAGCGAGTTTTTTTTTGTTATTTTTGTACTTTTGTTGCCAACTCACGTGTTTGCGGGAGCCGCATTTGATGGCACTTGTAATTTGATCTGAACTTTTTTTCGCACTCGGTTACGTGGTCAATGCCATGGTACTTCGCAGAGAACTCCAATTGCAAAGGCAAATGCAATTGCTGCAAATGTTACAACTATTGAAGTGAGAGCGTCAAAGTCTTGCGGCTAAGCCAATGGAAAAAACCGCAAAAACGTTAAAACTTGATTATTTCTCCTATATATTTATGAATAAGCGTTTATTTTCTTTAGCTACTGTTTGGCTTGCGCTGCGCAGTGGCTCTCGAACTGTGCATCAACTGGTTTTCGCATTTGCCAATAAGAATTATTTTTTATGCGCGCTACATTTAACACAAATGTGATTTCCTTTTCCGTCTCACACACGCACACAAGCACATTGCATGCGAAGAGCGCGCAGCGCACAAGAGAGCCAATCGTTGCGCATTTAAGAGCGCGCGCGTACGCTGAGCGCAACAAGTGTGGATGAGTGTGTCTGTGTGTGCGTGTGTGTGAGTGTACATACGTAGCGATTGCACTTAGCGTGCTGCCATTCCCGGTGCTGATGCCGACGCCAACGTTAACGTCGCCTGCGACTGCTTCTTTTCTATGAATGAATTTTGATAAATGTACTTTATCAGCAGCGACCGCGGCTGCAGCATCTGCCTATAAAAATACAACAACAACAGCAACAACATCAGAAACCGTTTGAGGCCCATTTTAATAGGGAAATTTCTTGTGCACTGCGTGTGCGTGTGTGTGTGTGTGAGTTCTTTTCTGCTGCCGACAATTAGCAGCTCAAGTGATTGGAAAATGTTGTCGGAGTGGGTGAGGATGAGAGTAAGAGAGAGAGAGAGAGCGCAGAGGGCACCGACAATGGAAAGAGAACAGCATTTGGCCGCTCAGCTGCGCAGCTGCGACTGTCTTCGACGCGCTGCCTCATTTCATATTGGAATTGAATGTCTTTTTCTTGTAGGTTCGATGAAGCTGCTGCGGCACTATGGGATATTATTGAATTTTAATTAAAATTAAGATTAAAATATTGAATGAAGTAAAATAATAAAAATGAGATAATAATATATTGATTTATAATAGATAAATATAAACTACTTATAAATTTAATTAATATAATAATTTCTACTAGATGAGATTGACGAAAGCTATATAGTCCATTTTGATTGTTGACTTCTTCGACTTCTAATACAGCTCATTCGCCAAACTTGGCCCATAGTACAAAACTGCTACCCTCTCTCTCTTTTTGTCTCCATCACTTTGCTGTTCCACATCCATTTGCTTGTGCTTTGTTTATAGCAAATGGCAGGCTCAGTCCTTAGGCTGACCCTAAGCGCATAAATCACTGACCAGCTGCAGACATAACGGGGCCCCCCGAGTAACAACAACAAGAATGAGCCGAAGAAGATGAAGTAGAGCTAAGACAACAACAAGACACGCCTTTCATTATGACTGAAGTTTATTTGCGTGCTGCAATTTGTTGAAAATTGTTTGGCGCGCTGCATTTCAATTTGACTCAATTATTTATTTATCTGCAACTGAATGCGGAAATTATGCGAGCGACTAAAAGATAGGAGCAACATGTCGTATGAGTGATATACGTATATATGTACATATGTATACATATATTGTATGTCTGGGGCACAGCAACAGTGTAAATTACTTTGTAACTTTGTAAATTCAAGCGATTATTTGATTGTTGTGTTCACTGCGCTTAAAAAGAGCCTCAAGAAATTGGGTTATCAAGCATCACACACACACAAACACACACGCACACAGAGAGAGCCACTTTGTTGTTGTTGTTGTTATCAGTTTGATTTAGTTGCAGCTTGTGAAATTGAAATTCATTAAAGCTCATAAATGTTATGTATACATATATTTATATGTATATACTATATATACATATTCATGTTTCCATCTAGCGTCATTGCTAAAAATATCAGCTGAAGCTTGAACATTTTTGCATGCCTTTAAATTTATTTCAATCTCGAGTAGTTTGTTTGTACTGCAAAAGCATTTGGAAAATGTCAATAAGAAGGTTAACAAGGCATCTGATAAGGCAAATAACAAGAACTAAACTTTTTTCCTAGAAATAGAATGGAATAAAGGTTTTGCACTTTCTACA